TCTTGTATGTCCATCAATAGTATCCCATCAGAGTATTGTACTTCAGGATAGACCATGAAGTATTTTTTTTATTATCAATTAGGTATCATTCCTTTTTAATTTGTAATTTCCAGCATAAAAGACCATAAGATTTTCTGACTAAAAATAGGCAGTACCAGCCCATCTCAGCCCATTAATGCCTAGGATGTCAATCTGTATGCACTTCATTTTATTTTTTACAACTGCCAATTTGTCTAGATCCATACTTTGTGCATTTCATGTTCCAATTATTAATAGAGGTTTACAGTTGTTTCTCCTCATCTTTTAGTGCCTTCCAATGGGAGTGGCTTTACTCTCAGTACATTGTCTAAAATTATTCCTCGGTTATTCATAGTGTTTTCAAAGGCCTGTAATTTCAAAAGTGGATATTCAGCACTGCTTCTTATTCTATCTTGATATGGAAGCTCCACTGAAACCAGTTCACCTTGAGTGACTCTGCTGGTATTTGAATACCAGTGGCATAGCTTGCAGCATGTCACCCCAGTATAGCAAACTGACAGAAATTATGTACCCATGAGATCACACTACAAAACAAGCAAACATACAAATATCAAGCAGACTTGCACATTACGAGAAATAGAAAACAAACTGTCTGACCTAGAATAGCATATCTTTTTAGCCCAACAGAAGATTGGAGTTGGAATGTCCTGTCAAGTCAGAGTTTCCGCTCATCTGAGTGGGGACCAAGGCCCATGAAATGAATCAGATCAACAGTAGAACTTCTTCTGGTCTAGTATATGTCATGGGTGTGTCAAGGGGTGGGGCACACAACCTGGGGTAGAGATTCTGCTGGCCTCAGAGGAAACTAGGCTAGTCTACCTGGCTAGAGACGGTGTCTTCGTCATACCAATGTTGGATGCAAGCCAAGCACCCAGTCAGAGATGGGTGCATTAAGAGACTGTCACTGCCAATACAACGTGTCCAATACAGGCAAATGGGCCTGTGGAGTGTGTAGGTAAGGTCGACCAGAAAGAGGGAAGGACCTAGTTAGAAGAGAGGGGGTTGTTCGCAGGTCAGGTGTGGCACAATCAGCAGACTGCAGGAATAGCTCTGAGAGTTTCCGAATGAAGATACAAGATGGCATGGGTGTAGTTTAAGGTCAAGCTGGGCTTGCTGGGGTAGGAGGATGGGGAGAAAGAGAACACTACTTGCCACCTAGTGAGTAGTGGCAGGGGAACACAGGGGACCAGGGGAAGATCAGATCTTTTCAGCTGTGTAGACACCAATGCATCTGCCACTGTGCTGCAGTTCTGGGTTCTCGCACCGTGTGGATTGCTGTTCAAGATGGCTGCACTGTGCTGTTTATGATTCTGTATTTTGCTGCTCTCCTTACTCAGTGTTTCAATTCCATTGCTTCCCTCTTTTCTTTCTAAACTGTGGGTTAAAGAATTAGCCATATTGGCTATCTTTCTTTTCTAGTGTCTTCAGTACAGTGTGTGTGTGTGTGCGCATACATTTTATATGTATGTGTAAAATACATGGTAAGACATTTGTGATTTGTGTGACATATTTAAAATATGTCTATAGATACACACAACACCATTTCTAAAAGTAGTTACTTTGGACAGAATGTCCAGAATAGGGACAATAAGGTACACACACTTTCAATATTGATAATGTGAGCCAGAAGAGTTCACAGCTATTAGCATTATTATGCATCACATATGTCTAGTAGCAAGAAGCTGTGCTGCAATCCCAAAGACATGCAGTTCGAGGCCACCAGTTGCTCTATGGGAGAAGGATGGGCAATTTCTTCCTATGCAATTATCTGCCTCTGAAAACTCACCAGAGCATATCTTTTTAGCCCAATTCAATGGTTCCAATTCAATGGTACACAACACAACATCATATTTGTTATATTATTTAGCATGTAGCAAATATTACATGAAAAGATAATTCAAAGAATTAGGAGAGCAAAATAATTGTGATATAATGTTGTTGTTGTTGTTGTTGTTGTTGTTGTTGTTGTTGTTACGTGCCATCAAGTTGCTTGTGACTCATAGCGACCCTATGTACAACAGCCCAGAGACCTGCTCTACTCGGTGTCAACTTTACTGTCTCAGACACACCTACCCCCATTACCCCAGTCATTGCATCAATCTCTCTAATCGGTGGTCTCCTTCTCTTTCTCCATGCCTCCACCCTTCCAAGCATGATGTCCCTCTATAAGGACCGGCCCTGCCTTGCAATATGCCCAAAATATGTCAGATGAAGCCTCGGAATCCTCGCTTAAAGCAGAATTTGTTGTTAGGAGAAACTGAGTTGCCTTTAATTCATAGTCACCCTATGAAGTGACAATAGATCTGAACTCTGCCCTACCCTATGTCATCATCACCATCGCTGAAACATAGAAATTTCTATGTAGCATGTATCTATTATAAGAAGCTTTGGTGGCAAGAAGCTGCACTGCAATCCTAAACACGTGCAGTTTGATTCCATCTGTTGCTGTGCAGGAGAAGGATGGGCAATAAACTGTCTCTGAAAACCCACTGAAGGGTCAGATATGGGTCAGTTCTGACTTGATGGTACACAGCAACAGATATCTGTTCCATTTTTTAAAAACACATATTTTATACATTAATATCTGTGTTCAGAGAAAAATATTAGATGACACATTAAAATACTATGAATCAATATCTCTGGATACTGGGATGGCAATTTATTTTTCATATGAATGAAGAAAGTTTATTCTTTTCAAATGAATTATAGTACACAGATGTTTATTAATTTTGTTGTTGTTATTGTTAGGTGTCATCAAGTATGACTCATAGAGACTCTGAACCACAGATCTGACCTCTGCCATGTCCTGTGCTATCCTAATCATCTGACACACTTGAGATCATTGCTGCAGAGTCTGTGTCCATCTATCTCATAGAGGGTCTTTCTTCCTCCCATTGACCTTTCAAATCATCATGTCCCTTTCCAAGGGATATCCCCTCTTATCAACATGTCCAAAGTATGTGTGACAAAGCTTAGTTATATTTGCCTTCAAGGAGCATTTGGTTTCACTCTCTCCAAGATATATATTTTGTTCTTTTGGCATTCCATAAAGCATTCAGTACTCTAACATCACAATTCAAAGACATCAAATTATTCTTCTTATTATTCATTGTCTAGTTCTTAGATGCATGATGGGAAAGACCATCACCCAAATCAAGCACACTTTAGTCTTCAAACAGACATCACTGTTCCTCTGTAATTTGGAGAGATTCATGACAGAAGACTTTCCCAGTGTAGTACATCTCCTGATCTCCTGACTGCTGGTATCAAGAGTGTTGACTGTGTATCCAAGGAACATGAAATTACTGACAATTTTTATCTTTTCTCCATCTATCATGATGTTGTTTACCAGTTCAGTGGTGAGGATTTTTGTCATAGAAAGTCTTAAATTTTATAGAAATTAATATTCAGATATTTTAAAATTCCTTTCATGAGCTCTCCTCGTCATGAGAGACAGACACTCACTATTGAAGATGATCTTGCTCCTCCTCTTGTCTATTTAAGAAAAAAATTGTTTTCATCCTTAATTTAAAAAAAATCCTTTTGATTGGCTAGCCAATATTCAGTATGTTTCTATGTGTGAAGTAACTTACAATGTTTTTAAATGAACATATAAAATTAACTACATGAGTGCATGATTGTAGGGTTTGGTATAGTTTTCATTCTTAAGCAGAATGAGGGTGAAACTAGAACAAAATACTCCCTCTTTGACTTTTGATAAACGTTAGGATTATGTCTGGAGCTTTGGTTACATGTAGTTATCCTATTGACTGTACAGCATTTTATTAATTTTCTGGAGGATCCCAAAATGTGATTGTAGTACCAAATGAAGCTGCCTCAAAATATGTGGAAGAAACAGTTCCCTCTGGCTCCAAAAAAAAATCTAATTTTATAGTTCTATTTTGTTAAGAAATTTTTTTTTCAACAATGAACCACTATTCTGAACATTTCTAATTTTCCATTTATTTAATATTTATTAATACATCAAAATTACCTTTGTATTTGTTATTAGATGCCGTCAAGTTGACTACGATTTATAATGATCCTATGAACAACAGAGCTGAACTAGCCCTATCTCACACCATCGTCAGTTTCTGCTTTGTTTGAGCCCATTGTTAAAAGTCATTGTGTCATAAATTTTCATTAAAATTAATAATAATAATAATTTAAAAATTAAAAAGTCATTGTGTCAACCTTTCTTCCTAAGGGTCTTCCTTTCTTTCTCTGAACTCCACCTTACCCAGCATGAGTCTATTTTCCGAGGGCCAGTCCCTTCTCACAACAAGTCAAAAGAATGTAACAAGAAGTTTCACCATCACTCAATTGTTAGGTGCAATCAAGTCGAGCAAGACTCTTAGTGACCAGCAATTTTTCAAAAAATTCTTAAGTCACTGTATTTGGCGAAAACTGCAACACTATAATGTTAACCTTAATATAAAAAAACATTGTCAGCAAAATTCCCAAATAACAATAAATCCTCTGAGCTCGATGAAATCAACCCAGCGCCCAGCCTCCTCAGAATCTAAGGCAACGGTAGTCAAGTTCTAAGCTTCAGAACCTGGTGGATAAATTCTGGTAACAATAAGTAGAACAAGGCCTGTTCAGTTTCGCTTATTTTTCTTCATTTGTGTAGTTGTCATATGGCAAGCGATTTATGGGTATCACAGAACAGCTCAAGTGAGGACCTGCAACCTGGAGCCTTTTATCACCTCACCTTTGCTCTGCTTTCCACCTGCTTTAGGAGAAAAAAAACACAACCCCCATTAGGCCTTTCGCCACTGGGGGGAGTTCCCGTTGATTGGTTGTCTGGTAGTCCCAGCCGGGCAGTGATTGGCCGTATCCAGAGATGGGGTGGGGCCAAAGCAGAACGTGGGAATTGAAGCGGTGACAGAGAGAGCAAAGAAGTCTAGTGTTTAGGTCCAAATTCCAGGCGCGGACGGGCGGCGAGGACTCCAGGAATCATGGCCCGGCGATACGTTTGCGTGCTGGCCCTAGTGCCTTTGCTGCTCCTAGGTATCGCCACTGTCTCCAGATCCGAGGGCCCGCAGGACAAGGCGCACCGAGAAGCGTTGCGAATCCCCTCTCTGTTCACCGAAGAGGAGCGGGTCAAGTTGAAAGAGGCGCTGAAAGGTGAACCTGGGTTCCTGTCGCCCACCTATGCGCAGATGCATGTCCCTCCCTCCTGGGGGTCACAACTCAAGACCTCTCACTCTCCCTCCACAGAGCTCAAGCCCGAGCTCCACAACCCACCCCCAGTCCAGCCCCAGCCCTTGTCTGGGGGGCCTCGCACCCACCTCGAGGGCGCCACTCTGCCCCAGCCCCGGTTCCCGGGGAATCTGGGCGCTCCCTGTGTGGCACTATTTACTCTTCTTGTCACTACTGACATCCACTCTATCCCCTGCTTCCTTGCCAGGAGTGTCACAGCTGATTTTATTTGCGTGGCACTTTTGACAGTTTTCACTTGTTGCTCTCTGTGGCGTTTTAACACTATTGTTCTCTGCCTTGTCTAAGGGAAATCGAGTGTTATGTCAGTTAAATGCTCCTTTTCTAGGTCACTAAGGCCTGTAGGGCTCACTGAGCTCTGCCTCGTTCTAAAAATTTTGTCCAGACTGATCCTAAGGTGTCCATGTTCCTAATTCCATCTCCTAATTGAAGAACATCTCTCTAAATGAAACCAGGACGGCTCTCATCTGCTGAAGCCATATTTGGCAAAAGGATAGTTTCTATTGAGTGCTGGAACCTGTGGGATAATAGAACCCTTCCTCAACACCGGCGGTAGCTCCAGCTTTTTCCCTCTCATAAAATACTGGATTAAAAGAAACTGCCTACATAAACATGTACAGGCAGATGCAGCGACCAAAAGCTAACCCCTGCAATTAAATGTAAAATGTGTGTGAACTGGATGACCCTGCTCAGAGGCACGCAGGGCTTACCCCAAAGCATAGGAGGACCTTTGCTGGCCAGAGAGCAAGCACAGCAAAAACTAGATCAGAATCTCGAGGAGGGTCTGGGAGCAACATAGCTTAGAACTCTGAGTGCAGGTCTTTGGTCTGTGCAGTAGGTGGTGGGATAGAGCCTAGCTTTGTCTTTGAGAACCTGTCCCACAGTCCCAGACTACCCAGGTGCACTTGCTCCCATGGTGTTCTTGGAAAGCTAGCTAAGAAAACAAGATTAATTGTGCTTCCACCGCAGTGGTGTTTGTATTTGATAATAGACTCAAGAGGGATAAGCCAGGAGTGGCAACTCAGAAATGGAGGCATCCAAGGAAGATGTTATCATAGGACTAGGGAGGGAGAGGAGGTTTAGGGGAGGGAGAGTTTATGCGGAAGCTTCTAAATCCACCTCCTGACAGGCATCATCTTTTTAAAAGAACTGGGCACTCAGAATCCGCAAAAGGAGTATGTTTTCTGAGGCAGAGAGTGACACTTAAGGAAAAAATGTATTTTTGGCTCTGACCTTATACATGATCAGGGTCTGAATCTACTACTACCCCTCAGATCTTGGGCATTGTTTTTCTTTAAGAATTCTATTTGTCAAAACCAACCCAGGGAGTTTTGTTTGTCTTAGGAGACTACTGAAAACTGAGGTTTAAATCCCAGCTCTGTGGCTTGTTGTGGGGAAATCTTGAACACCTCTTTCAGGATTTCAATGCCCTCTGCACTAAGATGCTGAATGTGAAAGAGCTGAGCGCACAGCAGAGGACCAATGCCTGTTAACTTTAGCCTTCCATCTCTGACTGCAGGTGCCATTCAGATCCCAACTGTGTCTTTCGGCCCAGACGACTTCAATACGACAGCCCTGGCTGAGTTTGGCAAATACATCTATAAAGGTAAACATATTCTACCTCACTTAGACTGAGAGCAAAGGTAGTAGGGGGCATGCTGGAGGCATGGTTCTTTTGCAAGGGATAAAGAAGTTTATTTTGTGACTGAGCCAGAAGACACTTAATCTCCATAGTTTCTTTTTAGTTTTGAACATAGTAGGGAAGTACAGAGAAATTGGGAGTTAAAAATGGAGACAGAGTAGACACTAGAGCTTTTCCCTTTGAAGAACAAGACACATAGATAGTCAGAGTTTAAATTCTCTTAATCTTTGCCCTGTATGTGTGCCAGCCAATAAATACATAATCACAGAGGTAGAGGGGACTCCTTTTATCTGTACAAAGTTCAGGACTATGTCCCAGCTCCTCCCACCTTAACCTCCAAACACACATACACGCACTCCACACACTCAGGCCTTCTCCACATTCATCAATACTACAATTCTAAGCTTCTGGGCAGTTAAGAACTTGGAGCTATCACATCAGTTCTCTCTCCTCAGCCCCAGAATCCATGGAGTACCTATCTGAGAGGGGTCAAGTCAGGAGTAAAAGGAGTGTACTGAAACCATCTTCCTAAATCAAATAAAAACCAGCCAAAAAACGTCACAGGGAGAGGGTGGCTTAGAAGCAACATGTGGCCCTGTCTCTAACACTCTGGGATGAGGTAGATCTGGGGTTAGTTCTCAGTAACTAAACTGAAGTGAGGTTAAAGTCTTTACTAAGAGATAGACAAACAAAACAAGTCAGAACTCATGGCAACCCACCACGGGTTCCTAAGGCAGTAAAGCTTTCTCCTGTCTTTCTCCTGCAGAGCAGCTGGTGGATTTGCACCACTGACCTTTCGGCTAAGAGTCAGACCTATAACCCACTATGTCACAAGAGCACCTTTTACTAAAAACTAGGAGGCCAATTACACAGTGATAATAAACTAGATAATCTGGCTGGCAAGATGAAAGCGTGGTCTTTAGGTTTCTGTCTTCAGTTGTCCACTGAGCTACATGGGGAATTTTTTCCCATTCCAAGAAAAAAAAATCCAGTGAGAGATAAAAATGTTTGTTTCATGAATTTCATAATGACCCTGGGAACATCAACACTTGTGCACACAAATGTGGCCTTGTGAAGGATGGAATAATTTTTATCTCCATATAACACAAACATTATAAGTGTTTTCTGTTGAAAGAACCCTGAAAAAAATTATTTTATATTTATATTAGGTATATATATATATACACACACACACACCTGGGTTGCTGTGATGCTGAACCTTGTACCATTGGACTATCAAATACCAGAATGGTTGCCCAATGTGGACAGTGTTTGGTGGAGTTCCCAGTTGTAAAACAGACTAAGAAGCAGGAGTGGCATCCACTTCCTAAACCGCATGCTTCTGGAAACTCTATGAACTTGGAATTGATGATAGTTATGGAAAGGCATTAGATCTTTTGTTCATAGAGCCACTATGAGTCGTGCTTGACTCCATAGCAATCAATAATAACATAGATAAGATAATCTTATTCTAAGCAATTGGGATACTATAACCTATTATCTTCAAAACTTGGCATACTCCTGGTGAGTTACACTTTTAGCTGCAAACCAAAAGGTCAGAAGTTTGAATCCACAGGCACTGCATGGGAGAGAGACCAGCCACCCAGTCTGTTTCTGTAAAGAGTTACAGGCTTGAAAACCTAGGAGGTATTTCCCTCTTGCCCCTGCCCTGTAGGGTCAGTGTGAGTTGGAATTGATTCTCTGGCAGTTCTTTTTCTGTCTATATGGCTCTATCCCCTGTATTTGTAAAAATACGTTATATGTCAGACTGAGCCAGATCTTGAGATAGTGGTTGTCTTAATGGTGTAGCTGCAATTCCAAAAGCATGTGGTTCAAATCCACCTACTGCTCCGTAGAAGAAGGATGAGTCATCTCCTCCTGTGCAACGTATTGCCTCTGAAAACCTGCTGGGAGGTCAGCTATCAGTTAGTTCTCACCCAACAGTACACAGCAACAACAATTACATTACTAAGAGTATATTAAAATATGAGAAAGAATAATTTCCAAGGTTCCCCAGGAAGATTAGGAATTAGAGCTTCCAAAAGAAAGGCTGATTTAAAAAAAAAAAAACAAACAGACAAAAATCCAAGGGTCAGGGGAGTGCCAAATGGTGCTTTAAAAGAAACTTCACCCTGTCTTTCTGTCCTTTCTTTCCATCCCTCTACCTCTAGCCTTTCCTAAAGTATTCAGCGCCACCTTTATCCAGCATGAAGTCGTGGGAGGATACAGCCACCTGTTCACTGTCCGAGGTTCAAACCCCAGACTGCAGCCCTACATGCTGATGGCTCACTTTGATGTGGTTCCTGCCCCGACAGAAGGCTGGGAGGTGCCCCCGTTCTCCGGGATGGAACGTGATGGCTTCATCCATGGTCGAGGCACACTGGACAACAAGAACTCTGTGATGGTCTGACACCATACATCCCCTCTGCCTTGAGACCTTAAAGATCAATCCAGAGTGGGTGGGGTGCCTTGGATGGTCCCTGAGAGGCAGGAGGTTATGGGAGAGAGAATCCTGGCTCCAGGAGATCTAGGTTCCAGCTGTCAGTGTTGCCTCTCCCTCCTGGGCCTCAATTTGTCATCCTTACAATAGGGATTAGAGGGAATGATCACCAGAGATCTGCTCAGCTTTGACATTGATAAGTTTATACTATTCTCCAGGTGGTAAAAATGTTATGCTTCCCCTCCTCCAATCCCCTGGGGCCATTTGAATTTGTTCCTTAAAGAGTCTCTTAGAGAGCCCTGGTGGCTTACTAGTAAATTATGCAGCCAACACAATATGTGTTTTGAATCTATTAGCTGCTCTGGGGGAGAAACATTAGCAGTCCCCTCCCATGGAATTTACAGCCTCTGAAAACTTGCTGGAGGGTCAGCTTTGGGTCATCAGACTCAATGGCACATAACAAAGAGTCTCTTAGATTGTAGGCCCAGCAGCCCAGCTCTAGGCAGCTCAACGTCTCTGACTCCTTGGTACACATAGGCAGAAAATAAGCTTTTCTCCTTTCCCATTGTGTTTCTGTTCCCAGGCAATCCTACAGGCCTTGGAGCTACTGCTGATCCGGAACTATGTTCCCAGAAGATCTTTCTTCATTGCGCTGGGCCATGATGAGGAGGTAGTGTCTTCTCACCCTGCACCCGCCTCTGGGCCTCTCACAGGGCTGGGGGCACTTTACCCTAATCCAGTTTGCTCCCTAGCTTTAAGGTGTCCATGATGTTAATGTGGTGGTTTGAAAACTTCTCTGTGTCTTTGCCAGAAATTTCTGAGAACCTTGACCAAAATACAGATTTCCAGACCCTGTATAGTAGATCTCAACTACGCCTTAAGAACCATTCGTGTGGTGCAGAGAACTGAACAGGAAGTTACATGTCATATCCCCAGTGAGGCCACTTATTTTAATGTCAGGCAAATCACTTCACTCTTTGGGTTCCTGGTTCTTCATTTGTGTGAAATGAGATGGGGCAGCCCTTCTAACTCTGATATTCCAAGATTCTGTGAAGCAGGATTGTCTAGGTCCTTGCCCCACAGGTGGGGAGGGGTGGAGGTGAGGCTGAGGACTGTGTGTGAGTCTGGGTTCAATGTCCACAGGTATCAGGGGAACACGGGGCTCAGAAGATCTCAGCGCTGCTACAGGCAAGGGGTATCCAGCTAGCCTTCATCGTGGATGAGGGTGGCTTCATCCTTGATGGCTTCATTCCCAACATCAAGAAGCCTTTTGCCCAGTGAGTAACACCTCTCCTTGGCAGGGATTCTCACGCCCTGTGAGGAATGATCTCAGCCTGGTATGTGTAAGTCATGCTGAGACAACCTCTTCTTTGTCCTATTTTTGGCTAGCTCTGGGCTCCCCATTTCCATCCTCTTCTAGTGTAAACTTTTTCAGCGACATGAAGCTGACTTCCCAGCCTACTCAAACTAATAGACCCAGATCCCCACAAAGAGATAAACCTGGCTGGGATTACATCAGGAGGGCTATCTCTGATCCTACAGGATTGCAGTCTCCGAGAAAGGTAGCATTAACCTCAAACTACAAGTAAACATGGCTCCAGGGCATTCCTCAGCACCTCCAAAGGAAACGAGCATTGGGATCCTTGCAGCTGCTGTCAGCAGGTAAGCAATTCCTGGTCACTTTCCTACTTTGAGTTTGAGGAGCTAAGCTCCCTGGCTTGCAGCAAAATTCGCAAGGCATAGTAGGGGTTTCACAGCAGGGGCAGACGCTAGTACACATGCAAAAGGTAGGGATCAGAAGATAAACTCCTAGTACATTAATATGGTAGCTGGAGTCATCTAGAGTCCAGGCAAGCAATTAGACTTGACAATGACAGTGCCTAGAACTATCTATGGTATGTTAATCAAAAAGGCCTGCCTTCCATATCCCAACTGCTTTAAATAAGAGACCCCAGCTCCTAACTGACTGTTAACCAAAAAGTTAGGTATGTTGCTAGGAGAAGCTATTCCTTGGATAGAGACATCATGCTTGGAAAGGTGGAGGGTTGGAGAAGAGAGGAAGACCCTCAACCAGGTGGACTGATACAGTGACTGCCACAACTGACAATAGTGTGTCAGAATGTGTGAGGATGGCACAGGGTAGGACAGGGTTCAAATCTGTTGTTCATAGGATTGCTGTGGGTCATACTTGACTCTATGGCTCCTGACTACAACAACAACAACTAACAGAGCTATCTAAATCTACCACCTGCCCTGGCAATGACTCAAAGGACTGCTGACTGTGATAGCTGCAGGGTTAGGAACAGCCGAGCTCACTGTGTTGCTGGTTTCTAATCTTGAGACCATCATTTCTCTTAGTCCTTAATCACATATTTAACTGAGTACATATAATGGCCATGGCTTTATGCCAAGTGATAGCTTTTACATTGAGAATGAAAAGGCTGCAGTGCCTGTCCCCATGGGCCTCATTGTTACTGGAGGAGACCGACAGTTCTGCTGCAGTGTGGCAAGAGACGGCTTAGGAGAAACCAGAGGAAAAGAAGATGAGGTGTCCTGACTTACATTTAGTAGCCCAGGAAAGCTTTGGCTGGTGAACTAGCGGTGGTCTTGCTGATACTCTAAGACCTCCAAACGTTTGGGTTGATGGAGGTTAAAGAATTAGAATTAGTGACCTTCCAATCAGTCTTGCTGAAACTTCCTGTCTCTTTCCTTCTCTTCTTTGGGTTGCTGATCTTTATGTGGAGTGAGTCTTGAGAGCATCATTTCCCTTCCAGGTTGGAGCAGACACCATTGCCTAACATGTTTGGAGATGGGCCACTGAAGACAACATTGGAGCTTCTGGCCAATGAGGTGTGGGGTCGAGTATCACATATTCTTAGTCAGTCATGGAAGAGGAAGAAAGGGTGGCAGAGTATTAACCTTCAGAGTAATGGAAGGGTCCGGTTGCTGTCCAGTGTTCTGTCCGTGCCCAGACGATTTATTAAGTCAAGAGGGGGAGTTTGCTGATTTAATGGGCTGTGATGTTGATGCTTAACCAAGACCTTATGGTCTAAACCCACACAAGCACTTTTTGGGAGCTGTTTCCCACCCACCCTTGAAGCTGCTCTGTAACTATTCTAACCAATAGATAAGTCCAGCTGGTATTGGCTCTTTATCCCTCCCCTCTAGCAGAGAGCTGCACCCCTGACTGCCAGAGAGGCTCCCAGATAAATACATATGGGAGCCTAGGTGAGAAGTTGTGACCCTATCCTGCTGAGTCCTCTTAATTCTCCTGACCTTGTTCTTTCTCTTTCAGTTTCCCTTCCCCACCAGTTTTATCTTGAACAACATCTGGCTGTTTCGGCCTATTGTAAAAAGGTAAATTATTCTCTTCCCCACCTCCCACATTCCCTATCCCAAACTTACCTATTCCTGAATTTCCTCCTCTTAGTTTAATTTGTTGTTTGATGTCAAGCTGGAAGTGGTGCGCAGATTTTCAGAGGCACTTAATTGCAAGGGAGTTCATTGCCCATCCTTCTCATGCAGGTCAGCTGGTGGATTTGAACCACATGCCTTTGGAACTGCAGCACACCATTAGGCCACCAGAGCTCCAGAAACAACACCTAATTTCATATACAAGATATTAGACTAAAAGATGTCTAAGAAACTCTTTTTTTTTTTTAGAAACTCTTGACTGTTGCTACAATAGGTGTTGATTTTGGATCCAAGTAAAATTAAATCCTTGACACATCCAAGGAAAATGGAAATCCTTAACAACTACAGTCATAAATTTGTCTACTGGTCCAAGGATTTTTATTTTCTTGATATTGAGATGTAATCCATATTGAAGACTGTAGTCTTTGCTCTTCTTTAGTGTCTCAAATGTTTACTTTCTGCAAGCAAGGTTTGCATTTTTCTGAATTAAGCCAAGAAATCTGGAGAACAACCACTTGGCCAACTGACTGGAAGAGACCTATATTTGTTCCCATTCCAAAGAAAGGTGACCCAACTGAGTGTGGAAACTACAGAACAGTGTCATTGATTTCACATGCAAGCAAGATTCTGCTGAAGATCATCCAAAAACGATTAGAACAGCACATCAGCAGAGAACTGCCAGAAGTCCAGGCTGGGTTTAGAAGGGGTCGTGGTACTAGGGATATTGTTGCTGATGTTAGATGGATCTTGGCTGAAAGCAGAGAATACCAGAAGAATGTCTATCTGTGTTTCATTGATTATGCAAAGGCATTTGACTGTGTGGATCATAACAAACTGTGGCTGACTCTGAGAAGAATGGGAATCCCAGAACATTTAATTGTGCTAATAAAAAACCTATACTTGGACCAAGAGGCAGTAGTCAGAACAGAGCAGGGTAACACTGCATGGTTCAAAATTGGGAAGGGTGTACGCCAGGGATGCATCCTGTCTCCATACCTTTTCAACATGTATGCAGAGCAGATTATCCGAGAGGCTGGGCTCTGTGAGGAGAACTGTGGCATCAGGATTGGTGGAAGGTCTATTAACAATCTCCGTTATGCAGATGACACAACCCTGCTTGCTGAAACTGAGGAGGACCTCATGCACTTGCTGCGAAGGGTCAAGGACTGCAGCCTTCAGTATGGACTGAGGCTCAATGTCAAGAAGACAAAGATTCTCACCACTGGACCAATTGGCAGCGTCAGGATGGATGACGAAGAGATTGAGATTGTTCACAGCTTCAGTTTGCTCGGCTCCACAGTCAACACTCTTGGCACCAGCAGTCAGGAAATCAAAAAGCATATCGCGATGGGAAATTCTGATGTTAGGGACCTCTCTAAAGTACTCAGGAGCAACAGTGTCTCTCTGGAGACTAAGGTGCACCTGATACAGGCCATGGTATTTGCAATCGCTTGTTATGCATCAGAGAGTTGGACAATGACTAGGGAGGACAGAAGGAGAGTGGATGCTTTTGAGCTGTGGTGCTGGAGAAGGGTACTGAATGTACCCTGGACTGCCAGGAAAACAAACGGATTTGTCTTGGAGAGGATTAAACCAAGCTACTCCTTGGAGGCAAGGATTCTGGGGCTTCGTCTGACATACTTTGGACATGTTGCCAGGAGGCACGGGTCCTTGGAGAGGGACATCATGCTTGGGAGGGTTGAGGGACAATGCAGGAGGGGAAGACCCTCTATGAGATGGATTGATTTGGTGACTGGGGTAATAGGGATGGGTGTGTCAGAGGCGGTGCGGTTGGCGCAGGATAGAGCAGGGTTTAGGGCTGTTGTGCATAGGGTCGCTATGAGTCAGAAACGACTCGACGGCACATAACATAACAACAAATATAAGTTCTTGCTGAATCTTCCTCCAAACCTAATGCCACATTCTTCTTAGGGTCCAGCTTCTCAAATGATTTGCTCAGCACACAAGCTGAGTAAGTATGGAGAAAGCAAACAACCCTGATGCACGCCTAATTTTAAACCATGCAGTGTCTTCATATTCTGTTGAAATGACTGCTGCCTGGTCCATGTATAGGTTTGTTTTTAACTGGTTTTCATTCAGTCAGTCACTCACGAGGTATAGATTTTTGGTTCAACACAATTAAGTGTCTTGGAATTCCCATTATTCTCAATGTTGTTTGTAATTTATTATGAACCACACAGTCAAATGCCTTATAGTCAATAAAACACAAGTAAATGTCTTTCTGGTATTCTCTGCTTTCAGCCAAGATTCATATGACCTCTGTGATGATATCTCTTGTTCCACAATCTCTTTTGAATCCAATTTTAATTTCTGGCAGTTCCTTGTTTATGTACTGTACCAACTCTTTTTGGATAATCTTCAGCAACACTTTACCTGTGTGTAATAGTAATGATACTGTTCTACAATTTTTGCATCCTGTTTAATCACCTACTTTTTTTTTAATGGGAAAAAATGTCTAGATCTCTTCCAGGCTCTAGGCCTCTCTTGTGAATTTCTTGGCATAGACTAGTAAGCACATCAAGGGCTGCATCTGTCTGCTGAAATACCTCACTTATTGTTTCATCAGTTCCTGGGCCTTCTTCTCCCCACCCCCCCACCCCCCATGCCTTCAGTTCAACTTGAACTTCTTTCTTCAGTAGTCTTGGTTCTTGAGCACATGCTTCTTCATGAAATGGTCCTGTTTCAACCAACTGTGATTTTTTGGTACAATGAGTCTGTGTATTTCATCCATCATCTTTTGATGCTTCCTGTATCATTCAATATTTTGCCCATAGTACAGTCTTCAATATTACAACTCAAGACTTGAATTAATTTTTTTTATTCAGTTCTTTCAGCTTGAAAAATGCTGAGCATGGTCTTCCATTTTGGTTTTCTAACTCTTGGTCTTTGCACATCACTCTGTCTTCTCAAGCTGCCTTTTGAAATCTTCTCTTCACTGCTCTTATGTCATCATTTCTGCCTTTGCCTTTGGCTTTTCTCTACTTGAGGCTAAGTTTGAGTTTCTTCTGATATTCATCTTAGTCTTTTTATTTTTTTTAATATATTTTCACTTTTTGCTTTTATAAGACCTTTCACTTTCCTCATGGACGCTGTCCTGGATGACATCCCCCAATTCATCTTTGGTCATTAGTATTTAACTGCTTAGAAGTCTAGCAGTGTGGATTCAAGGCTGTAGCCCTGTGAAAAGGCATTTTTTTTTCTCTTCCAACTCTGTAGAAAATCCTTGTCATCAACATTTCCAAATCTAGGGATTTCTCAGTGCAGGAACTGTCCAAAGGACGCATTCTGCTCCAGGATCTTTTTTCTTGGTGGTAGTCAAGTGCTTCTAACCTTTTCTGCTTGTTTAATCTCTTTTATATATCAAAAGTGGTTAAGTCAGGATACAGTCCTATAGACACATCCTGTATTCCAGCAGTCCATGGTATAGTCAATATCCTTTACCGACACCATAATTCAAAAACATCACTAATTCTTCAGTCTTTCTTATTCATTTTCCAGTTTTCATATACATATAAAGCAACTGAAAATACCATTACTTGACTCAGGCACACCCCAGTCCTTAAAGTGATGTCTTTACTTTTTAACAATTCAAAGGAGTCCTTGGCAGCAGACTTGCCAGTGCAACATATCTTTGATTTCTTACCTGCTGCTTCTGTGGTTGTTGCATAAGGACAGAGGTAAAACGAAATCCTCGACGATTCAATCTTTTCTCCATTTATCATAATGTTACGTATTAGTCCAGTCATTAAGATTTTTGCTTTCTTTACCGTAAGATGCTAAGTGCCTCGAGTCCTCTTTGCTTTCAGCAATCAAAGTTGTGTCACCTGCAGGTTGTTAACGAGACTCCCTCCAAGCCTCATGTCTTGTTCTTTATCATGTAGTTCAATTTCTTGAGTTCTTTTCTCAGCATCCAGATTGAGGAAGTATGGTGAAAAGATAAAGCCTTGATGCACACCTTTCCAGATTTTAAACTATGCATTATATCCCTTTTCTGTTTGAACATTGCCTCTTAGTCTGTATACAGGTTCTACATGAGCACAGTCTACTATTAGGCACCTCAAAACACTTCCATGCTCCACTCATTATCCGCTTCCCAAACCACTAACATGTTAGAAAAGCAGCTCCACAGGATAAAGATGGCCACTCTCCTCCTGTGTGATTTACAGCCTCTAAAAACCTGCTGCAGGGTCAACTACGAGTGGCTTCTGATTCCAAGGCAATAAGCTAGAGGGTTTTTTTAGTTAGAATAGCACCTTACTCTCTTTTTTTTTAATTTTTTTTTTAAATTTTTGTGTGAGTGTACCGTCAAATCAGATCTGACTGGTACAGGAGGAGATTGTCCCTCCTTCTCCCGGCAGAGCATCTGGTGGATTCGAACCGTGTGCCTCTGGGATTGTAGTTGCAGCTCCTTGCCACTAGGCCACCAGAGCTCCCCAGCACCTTACTCTCTTGTTACTAATTTTTGCCTCAGGAATCGAGTGTTGCTATAAGAGAATACCACAAGTGGATGACTTCAACAAACAGAACTATATTCTTTTGTTGTTTAGGAGGCCAAGAGTCTGAGTTCAGGGTTCCAGCTCTGGGGAAACGCTTCTCTCTCTGCTAGATGTAGAGAGGGGTCCTTGTCACCAATCTCCCCCTGGGTCTAGAAATGTATCAGCATAAGGGCACATGCCACCCTTGATTCTTCTTCCCTCATGGGAGTCTGAGTCCTCTGATCTCTGCTGTCTTGTCCAATCTCTTTAATATCAGAGAAGGTTGATTCAAGTTATAGCCTAATTCTGTGGATATATCCTGCTTCATTAACATAACTACAACCCCTGTTTCATTAACATCATAGAGGTTAGATTTACAATATGCAGGATAATTACATCAGCTTACAGATTAGAAGATAATTACAGAATTATATTGTTGTTAATGTGAGTTGAGTATGACTCAATGGCCCTTTGAACAACAGATCTGAACCTTGTCTTATCCTCTGCCAACGTCATCATCTCTGATATTTGAGCCCATTGCTACTACAGTCACTGTGTCAATCCATCTTGTGTAAAGTATTCCTCTCCTTCGCTGCCCCCCATATTTGGAGTAATATCCCTCTCCAAGGAATGTAAATAATAATCTAGTGGCCTAGTGACAAACTTTCATCACTTTGGTGGGTGACTCTAATTGGCGGCCCTTAGGCCCTTCTTTTTGGTCATATAGCCCTCGTCTGTCCACTTGCTGTACAGAAGTAACTTGTGGTTGCTGTGAAGTTGAACACTGTGACACTGATGTGTCAAATGCATTAATGGTTACCCATGATGGACAGTGTTTGGTGGAGCTCCCCCATTAAAACAAGCTTGGAAGCAGGAGTGGCATCCACTTCCATAATAGCTTGCCTCCAGAAACCCTATGAACCTGGAAAAAGGAGGAAAGTCATGCAGGTGTCAAGGACTTTCATCCATAAGTTCGCTATGAGTCGCCAACAACTTGACGACACTTAACAACAACATAACAGTGACAAACTATGCTACAGTTCCAAAGGTAGGAGATTTAAATCCACCAGCTGCTCTGAAAGAGAAGGATGGGCGGTCTCCTCCTGTGCAATTAATTAGCTCTGAAACCCCACTGGAGGGTAAGCCTTGGGTCGGTTCTGCCTTGAAGATACACAACAGCCAGGTCGGCACATATTTTTGAAGATTCAATTCAGTCTATAACAGTGAGTGATCCTCCAACCCTCTTCTTTCTCTCCATTGGACAGTGCCTTGTAACATTTTACTCTAATCCTTTTGCTTTAGGTTCTTGGAGAGAAGCTACATAACCAGTGCACAGATTAGGACCACCACGGCCCTCACCATGTTCAATGCAGGAGTCAAGGTAACATTGCCTGGTGCCTCTCATCTACCTTTCTCTTACTCCCCAGCTCCCCGTCTCTCCTCAGGCTTTATTTCTTGCCTCATCCTTCCTTCTTAGGCAGGGACTTTTAATAATAGGAAGGATTGGTGCTGATTTGTCCTATGTCACTAGTTGGCCAACTCTCAAGAGCCAAGGGCCTCACCTAGGTTTCTGCACCCTCTGAAACTGCTGGTTATACTGTGTATATGTACACTGTGTACACTGCTGGTGTGTATGTGTATTTCCATGGTCTTCCTCAAGTCCTCTGAGTCTGTGTCCCTACCAGAAAACCCAGCCTATCACACTAGTGTAAAATTAGAAGGTAGTTCTTATGGCCTATGTCCAGATTGTGACTCAGTATGTTTTACTGAATCACTCTGCCATTTGGATCATACAGACTCCTCTCTTTCTTCTACTTTCTAAGACCAGCCTTTCCCTACATTTTGAAAGATTTACCTGGTTAACTAGTTGAATGAGTGATTAATGTATCTTCCCTCAAGTATAACTGGTATTACCTTCTATTGTTTTTGTTGCTATGTGCTGTCAAGTTGGAACCAACTCCTAGTTGACCCTCCAGCAGGTTTTCAGAGACAATAAATCCCATGGGAGTAGATTTCCCATCCTTCTCTCACAGAGCATCTTGTGGATTCGAACTGCATACCTTTGGGATTGCAGCAGAGCTTCTTACCACTAGGCCACCAGAGCTCTTACGTATGTGATTTTTAAAAACTGTTACCATCAACTCAGTTCCTATTCATATTGTCCCTAATAAGACAAAGTAGAACTGTCCATAGAGTTGCAAGGCTGTAAAAATTATTTTAGGTTGACCTATGACCTCAATGAAATAATTAAAATAAATGTTTTGGGGAAAATTAAATCACATTAGTAGAGAGTATAATGTATTAGAATACCACAATAAGTGACAGTGATTTAATAAATATTAGCCAAGATTTTCTAAATATAACCAGTGATAATCCTGAAAAATAATTGGTTGATTAGAAAATATAACTTGGGGAAAAAAAAGAAAATACAAGTTGAGGTGAAAAAAAATTATTATCTATTAACTCACTGAGTGAGAAAAACATTTTTTCAAGAACTTGCTAGTAGGATAGATAGCAGTAAGATAGAATTGGTGATATCGTCTATGCATGAATCATAAATAAAGAAAATAAGAGAGTACAAAGCACCTTGAGTATAGTAATATCTGTTCTTCATTTGTGACTCTGAAAGACAAAGAATCATTAACAAAAATGAATATTAAAAATTAAAAAACTAAAAAAAAAGGCTTCACAAAACATTAAAAAGAGGCAGGGGGATACTCAATATCTAAGGAGCTATAAATCATTAGTCTGAATAAAACATTTGAAACTGGCATGTCCAAAAATGAATTTTTCATCTTTCTCTGAAACTTTCTGCCCTTCTATTTTCCACCTCAGAAAACTCCATTCTATCACTGATTTAGTTCCTAATTCTTGGAACCCTCCTGAACGCTGATCTTTTTCCCACATTCCAGGTCAACCTTGTCAACTCTTCCTTTAATATATATCTTGAGTCCTCTAACTTACCATTTGTAAATCCTTATGGAAGCAAACTACTTCACCTTTCTCCCACAGAGCTTCTGGTGGGGAGTTCAAACCATCAACCTTACAAAGTTGATGCACTTACAAGTTGAGCACTTCACTACCAGGGTACCTTTCTGCACAGTTAAAATAAATACGTCGTAATTTCTCGAAAAAGAAAAATATATATATGTCTTAATTTCTCAAAAAACTACTTAAAATATACACATTGTCATTTCTCCCAAAAACCCACACAGTACAGAGATAGATAGATAAGAGAGATACAGATATAGTGATTTCTCACAAAAGTGAAATAAATACTGAGTGGCCTTAATAAGCATAAATTAATGTAAACACTATATGAGATCTCTAAAAATGAGTTTTGAATGATTCATACTTGGGATAAATGTTTCACCATCTAATTGGTCTGCTTCCTATTGACTGGACACTGAGTAGCTGCTGTTAAAAGGATCCAGCTGCTAGCACACGAGTTAGTTTGAATGTAAACCTTTTGAAAACTAGAATATTGAACAGACCATAGACTGCCAAGAGAATGAAAAGATCTGACCTGGAGAGAGTGAAACCAGGATGCTCCTTTGAGGTAAGGATTTTGAAGCTCCTTCTCACATACTTTGGGCATGTGGCCAGGAGAGATGAGTCCTTGGAGAAGGACATCATGCTAGGAAGGATGGAGAGACAGCGAGGAAGACCCCAGATGAGATGGATTGGTACAATAACTGGGTAGATGTGGAGACAGTGAGATTGTCTCAGGATAGGGCAGGATTCAGAGCTATTATACTGAGGGTTGCTATGAGTCACAGGCACTTTGATGGCACAGAACAACAAAAGTTCATACCACTTGCACATAGAATACAGTGTGATCCAGTAACTCAATGTGTTTCTGTTGAGTCAGAATTGACGTATGGCAGGTCTCCAAGGCTGTAAGTCACACAAAAGGAGATTTCTCAGCTCCCTCCCTCAGGGCTGTTGACAGAGCTGACCTGTCAGAGAGGTGCAGCCTTTGGGTGAGCAGTGCACCCCCTAGAGACCCTGTCACCAGACCTCCCTTGTGACCACCTGGAGCACTCATGATCTCAAGTCCAGACTGTGATCATCATTGTTGTTGTGTACTGTCAAGTCAGAACCAACCCATAGCTGACCTTCCAGAGGAGTTTTCAGAGGCAATAAGCTGTGCAGGACTTGAGAGCCCAAAATATGGGATCAGTGCCTCTGAATTAACTCCTGGAAAAATTGACTAGATTTTCCAGTGTATTAGCTCGAACTGGACCTTCACCAGCTGCATATAGTCATGACCAAAATAATTGTACAACGTCATTGCATCTGACTAACCTTCCCAGCGTGCTTTATACATGTGTTGATACATTTGATCTCCCTACTCTCCTCCCATGCGATTAACTGCCTCTGAAAACCCTCCAGAGGGTCAGCTACGGGTCAGTGCCTACTCTACAGTACATAACAACAGATGGTTAGGAGTGCAAATGACTAACATGCTCAGTTCCTAAGTAAAAGGTTGATGGTTCAAATCTAACCAAAGGCACCACAGAAGAAAGCCCTAGCAATCTAATTCTATAACATTATGGGCACTGAAAACTCCTTGGAACACATCTCATCTCTGACACACATGGATTTACCATGAGTCGGAATTGACTAACAAGCAACAAGGAAAAAATGCAGCCTTATGAATACACTGCTTCCCATTTGACAGCTGAGAAAACAGAAACTCTAAGAAAGTTATTATTAAAGCCATGTAGTTAATTAATAGGGAACTCTGGTGGCCTATTGGCAAGAAGTTGTGCTACAATCCTGAAGGCACGTGGCTCAAGTCCACCAGCTGCTCTGTGGGAGAAGGCAGGGCAATGTCTTCCCATGCAATTAACTGCCTCTGAAAACCCACTATGGGTCAGTTCCGATTCAACGAAACACAACAACACAGTTAATTTATAAAAGCCCAGTTCATTTGTCCTTGTTCTCAGGATACCTTGAACCATATAAATTTATAGTTGAGAAATCTGACTATGCATAGCCTTTGAGGAAAAAAACCTTCTGTAACCCAACTTTCTAATGGGTCCTGAGTTCTTCTTCCTGATCAAGCCAAGAATAGGGTCAGATTTCACAACTGGATTTGGAAACAATTATCCCACTCTCATTACCCCACCATCTCCCCCAAGGGATCAAACAGGGGCCTGCAGGCCTGTGCTAGGTTCTAGTGCCTTGGAAAGGGGGAATACAAAGAGAAGAATAACAATGGCACAGCACAGAACCTCAAAAGAGATGTCTGTCCAATCACAGAGAAAGCAGTCTTGTTCTCAGCACTTCTCTGCAATCTCCTCCAGGACAAGGATTATGATGGTCTGGCCTAACACTAACACACTCATGTACTCTGAGCATAACCACATGTCAAGGGTCCAGAAAAAAATAAAAGGCAGACAGCACATAACAACAACAACAAAGGAGTCTCATCCTCTTCCTAAACCACATGCCTCTGGAAACTCAATGAACTTTGAGAAATGACAACAGGTATAGAAAGGCTTCAGGCTTTTTGTTCATAGGGTCTCTATGAGTCGTGCTCGACTCAACAGCAATTAACAATAACAACAACAAAATAAAATTAGATCCTGGACTTTTCTGTCTAATCAGCTGCTTCTGCCCCTGCTGGATGTGGCTGGCTTTTCCTGGGCAGGGGTCTGATCTGGAGGACTTAAAGTTTACTCAGATCAAGGTTTGTGGTTCTCTCTCCAGGTGAATGTCATCCCCCCAGTGGCCCAGGCAACAATCAACTTCCGGATTCACCCTGCACAGACTGTCCAAGAGGTATGTAACCCCTGAGCCATTGTCCTGGTTCAGCATCAGGAATAGGACCCCAGTTTAGCTGCCATCCCAAGGCTGGTGCAGTTTCTTCCTTGTTCAAGCAACAGTTTTCAGACACTTTCTTTGAAGTAACTATTCAGCTACAGAAAGAAAATTCTGCCTGAGGAGAATGTGCAGTCTGGAGATGGGAAATGAATACTTTTAAATGATAACACTAACCACAAATACTTGTAAGATGAGCTTGTCATGTGTTTGGCACTCTTTTAATATATGTATTGAGTTCTTATACTCAACTGATAGCATCTTCATTTGGCATAGGAGGAACTAAGGCACAGAACAATTAAGTAGCAGGCCCCCCCATTACACAACTAGCAGTCTGCTTCCAGAGTCTGGTCTCAGCCACAACATCCTCTGCAAGTATAACAATTGTTGTTAGGTGCCATCAAGTTAACTAGGACCCATAGCAACCCAAAGGACAACAGATCTGAAGCTTGTCCTATCCTGCACTCTCTTCACAACCTCTGTCAGGTTCAGGCCCATTGTCGTAGTCATGGCATCAATCCATCTTGCTAAGGATCTTCCTCTCTCTTGCTGACCCTCTATTTTCCCCAGAATGAATGATATCTGTCTCTGAGGACTGCTTTCTTCTGAAAATATACCCAAAGTGAGACAGAGTTCCACCATCATTGCCCCTAAGGAGCATTTTGGGTGCACTTCCTACAAGATAGATTTGTATAACAATTTTTATTGTTATGCACCATCAAGTCACCAGGGACTCAGCAACTCTATGTACATTAGCTATGAACTTTGCCCTATTCTGAGCCAATCTCATCATTTCCGACAGATCTAAACCCATTTCTCCAATCACTCAGTCAATCCATCTCATCCGGGGTTTTCCTCTTCTGTGCTGTCTCTCTACCTTCCCAAGCATGATGCCCTTCTCCAAGGACTGGCCCCTCCCGGCCATGTGTGCAAAGTATGTGAGATGGAGAGTCAAAATCCTTTTCAGTACAGACCTATTTGTTCTCCTGACAGTCCACAGTATGTTCAACACTATTCTCCAGCACTAGAATTCAAAGGCATTGATCCTTCTTCTATTATCTTTAGTTATTGTCTAGCTCTGGGATGCAAAGCAAGTCATTGCAAAGACCATAGCCTGTAACAGGCGCACCTTAGTCTCCAGACTGACATCATTGCTCTTCAGTACTCTGGAGAGATCCCTGACAGCAGACTTCTACAGTGTCATTCTTCTTTTGATTTCCTGACTGCTCATGCCAAGAGTGTTAATTGTGGAACCAAATAAGCTGAAGTTGTTAGCAATCTCAAACTCTTCATGTATCATGAAGCTTCCAATTGGTGCAGTAGTAAGAATCTTTGTTTTCTTGATGTTGAGCTTCAATACATTTTGAAGACTAGAGCCCTTGACCTTCCGCTTTTAGGGATGAATAAATTACCACAGGTTTTTGTCGTGTTCTTGTCAAGTTGCCTGCGACTCAGCGATGCTATGTACAACAGCCCTAAATCTTGCTCTATCCTGTGCCAATCTTATTGTCTCCAACACACCTACCCCAGTCACTGAATTAATCCATCTTATCGAGGGTCTTCCTCTCTCACACTGTCCCTCCACCCTCCCAAGCATGACATCCTTCTCCAAGGACTGGTCCCTCCTTGCAACATGCCCAAAGTATATCAGATAGAGCTTCAGAATCTTTGCCTCCAAGGAGCAGCCTGGTTTCATCCTCTCTAGGAAAAACCTGTTTGTTCTCCTAGCAAACCATGGTACATTCAACACTCTTCTCCAGCACCATAGCTCAAAGGCATCAGTTCTCTTTCTGTCATCCCTAGTCATAGCAAGAAATAGCAAAGACTATGGCCTGGATCTGGCACACATTAGTCTTCATAAGACTACTGCAAAAATGGAGAAGTGGAGGATCAGTGAAGGAGATGAAGACCCTCAACAGAGTGGATGAACCCAGTGATTACAGTAATGGGATTAAGCACAGCAGAGATTGTGAGGATGGCACAGGATCGGTCTATTATAGAGGGTCACTATTGTATAGAGGGTCACTGAGTTGAAGTCATCTTGATGGCACCTGACAACAATAACTGAAAGAAAAAAAAGAAAGATACTACCTCTGAGGATTAAGAAAGTGTTTGTTTTCCTGAGTGCTGGAAATTCAAGTGAGGACTTAAAGGACAGATAAGACTTTTCTAGAAGTAAGACAGTCAGGAGCAGAATAAATTGGGAGAAAATATTGGGAGGTGAAAATGGAATTGTAGGTAGAGGAACAGCTGTGTGCTGTATATTATATGCTGAGGAAGCTGGGCTTGAATCTGTGGTCAAGAGAAAGCTGCCAAAAGGCTTCAAGTGAGAGTGATATACTCAGTTTCACTTCTAGGGAAGTAATTGCTAATGACTGAGCAGAGGACATGCTGTCGCAGGAAGAGGGGAGGAAGCTGTTGCAACATCACAGGCATTGGGTGTGAATATATGAATGGAGGTCATTGTAGTGGGGTGGAGGAGAGAGCACTGACGAGAGGTGAAAAAGATGGGTTAAACAGGACATGGAGGGTAAATGGAGGTGGGATGTGAGAGAGAGAGGGTGGCTTCAAGAATGTTAACCTAAATAGTGGGTCAGGTACAGATGCCATTAATTAAGACTGGGAATTTGTCATGAGTATAAATATTGCATAAGACCATTATTATAAAAATAAGTAACTAAGTAAAATGGTGTCACGCTGGAGACTAAGGTGCATCTGATACAGGCCATGGTCTTTGCAATCACTTGTGATGCATAAGAGAGTTGGACAATGACTAGAGAGGATAGAAGGAGAATTGATGCCTTTGAGCTGTGGGCTGGAGAAGAGTATTGAATATACCATGGACTGCAAAAAAAAAAAACAGATTCATCCTGGAAAGGATTAAACTGGGCTGCTCCTTGGAGGCAAGGATTCTGGGGCTTCGTCTGACATACTCTGGACATGATATAGGAGGGCAGGTCCTTGGAGAGGGACATCATGCTTGGTAAGGTGGAGGGACAGTGCAGGAGGGGAAGGCCCTCTATGAGGTGGATTGATTCAGTGACTGGGGTAATCGGGATGGGTGTGTCAGAGGCAGTGTGATTGGCACAGGATAGAGCAGAGTTTAGGGCTGTTGTACACAGGGTCGCTATGAGTCGCAAGCGACTCGACAGCACATAACAACAAGAAGTAAGATGCATATAAATTCCCAAAACGGGGAACAGGCAAGTGGGAAAGGGGTAGAAAAAGGGAAAGGAGGGAAATCACATGGATAGATCAGAGAACAGGTGAGGCAGGTGAAGGAATAGGAAAGATTCAATGGGGACTTAAAAAGATGGGGTAATAATAGGCATAAATCAGCACTACAGCTTTCAAGAGCATCAGTTCTTCTGTAATCCTTATTCATTGCCCAGCTCTCAGATGCATAGCAAGTGATTGGAAAGACCAAAGTCTGAATCTGGCACACGTTAGTGTTCAAGTTGACATCATTGCTCTTAAGTCTTTTGGAGAAGTCCCTGACAACAGACTTGCTCAATGCAATATGTCTTCTCATCTGTTGACTCCTGGTGGAAAGGATGTTGATCATTGATCCAAACAAGATGAAATCATTGACAGCTTCAGTCCTTTCTCCGTTTATCATGATATTATCTGTTGACCTCATGGTGAAGAGCTTTGTTTTCTTAATGTTAAGATGTAATCCATACCAAAGGCTGTAGTCGTTGATCTTCTACAGCAAGTATTTCAAGTTGTCCTCACTTTAAGCAAGCAAGGTTGTGTCCTCTGCATAACACAGTTTGTAATGATGAGGTTTCCTCCAGTTCTGATGCCACATTCTTTACAGGAATTAGGTTGACTATATCTGCACAAAGAATTGTTAGAAAAGTGCCATGTCAGCAATCAAAACCAGACCCGGTGTTGACTGTGGAACAGACCATCAATTACACATGTACAAGTTAAAATTGAAACTGAAGAAAATTAATAAGAGGACATCCAGGATATCAACCATGAAGAAACTAAAAGGTCAAAGACAGGAGAAAGAAAAAACCAATATGGATGTCAGAAGAGACTATGAAAATAGCATTAGAGTGTCAAGAAGCCAAAACAAAAGGAAGAAATGGCGAAGACAGCTGAGCAGAAGGTTTCAAAGGTTAGCTCAAGAAGACAAAGCAAATTATAACAAAATGTGCAAAGAGCTGGAGTCAGAAAATAAAAAGATAGCTCATTCAGCATCTCTAAAGCTGAAAGGACTAAAAACAAATACAAGCATCAAATTGCAACACTGATAGATGCTATGGGCAAAATTTTGAATGATCCAGGAAGCATCAAAAGAAGATGGAAGGAATACACAATCAATGAACCAAGAAAAATTAGTTGACACTGAAAAATTTCAGAAAGTACCATACAAACAAGAGCCAATGGTTATGAAAGATGAAGTTCAAGTTGTAATGAAGGCATTGTCAAAAAATAAGGTCCCAGGAATCAATGGAATACAGATTAACATGTTTCAACTAACAGATGCAGCCCTAGATGAGCTCCAGTCTAAGCCAGGAAATTTTAAGAAGAGCTATCTGACCAACAGACTGAAATAGAACTGTATTTGTTCCCTTTCCCACAAAAAGTGACCCAACAGAATGTAGAAATTATAAAACAATATCATTATTATCACATGCAAGCAAAATATTGGTGAAGATCATCCCAAAACGACTAGAACAGTACATTGATAGAGATCTTCCAGAAGTTCAAGCTGGGTTTAGAAGAGTCCATGGCACCAGGGATATTACTGCAGATATTAGAACCTTGCTGAAAGGATGAGGTACTGGAAGAATATCTATTTGTGTTTTATTGATTATGCAAAGGCATTTTTGTGTATCATAACAAGTTATAGCTAACATTGAAAAGAATGGGAATCCCAGAACACTTAATTGTGCTCATGCAAAATCTATACCTGGAACACGAAGTTGCCTTGTGGGAATGGAACAAGG